GGTTGCCATGAGGGTTGTAGAAGGGTTCCGTAGGACTTTAACAGTGTGCTGAGAGTACTACATTGCATGATGACTCCACTGGGCTCTTCTGGGGCAATCGATGCCTAAACCATTTTCCTGAATCTTGCAACGTTCCCTGAACCCTAAACCCTAAACCCTAAACCATCCTAAACCATACACCTTCAAGCAAAACCTTCGGCTCAGAGATTCGAGGCATTTCTACCCAGAGATACTTCAGGCACTGTTCCTAAAGTCAGCTTCGTCTTTAGCAACTCCACTCTGAGCCCTGACAGATAGCTTACACATACTCTTTCGTAGAAGCACCCCCCCCTTTGCATCTCGTGGCCCAGCCGGATCTTTATGTCCTGCCTGCGCCAGGCCTTGTGCCATCACGCCTCCGCCGGTGCCCATGAGCATTAGGCCTGCTGGTCGCTGCCCTACACACCGACGAGAGAGCACCCTCGAAGTCAGTTTGGAATCATCGTCATGCTCAATCACAGTACGGCGAGTAGCACGATTCATAGCAGCCATAAGCATAACAGAATACAGTGATGGGTCAGTTGATGTAAGTCTAGTCACAAGAACAGCACAGTGCTGTAGTCATCATCATGGTTGCAAGGTCATTGTCATCATGTAGCAGCAATGATTCTGATGACTGTACCTACTTATGCTGGCTAATGCAGGGGCCTGAAAAAATAGAACAGGGTTTTGGGGCACGTTATTCTATAATTATAACAAGGATCCCCAAAAACACTATAGGTAACTATTTAGGCCCCTACATTATACTGCATGCTTCGCGGTGGTTCTGACACGACGCACGGGAAGTTGGTGGCATCTTTCATCTCGGCATGGTGAAGGGGAGCTCTGGTTGGGACTTGGGTTTGTTGGGGTTTAGGGTTTAGGCACTGATGGCCTATGGGATATAGTAGAGGATTTAGGAATTACGTTTGGTGTCATGTAGGGTTTTAGGGTTCAGGCTTGGGAATGTAAGAGTTTTGTCGCATCAACTTCAGCGATGCATTGGATTGTAGGGTTTGGGACTTTGCCCCGGCGAGCGGGGATCCTCTGAAAAAAGGCCGTTCAGCCCAGAGCCCAACTGCCCGAAACCCACAAACCATCATAAACCCATAGTACTGTAGGGGCCTTAATCATTGCCTATACTATCTTGCGGGGGCGTCCGTAATAGAATTTTGGTAAAATGGAGCCCAAAACACTATTCTAACTATTAAGGCCCCTGCACTACCTTAACAGTAACACGTATTGTAAGCCATAGGGTCCCTACCAGCCCTTATAGCAACCGTACAGCAAATCCGGAAAAAAAAAGAAGATATCTTGGGCCCAGAATGCCCTATCGACCCGAACCCAGAAACCTACAGTAAGTACCTTCAGCTCTGTAGCAAGGTTTGGGGTTTCGGGGTGCCCCTGTTCAAAAACGCCACACTCCAAAACAAAGGTAATATAACGGCCTTAATCATTAAAGTAGGGCCCATGATACTATAATCATAATAAGGAACCCCTAATCTTGGCAATTATCCAAGCCCCTACATTATGCGAGTCGCCTCCCGCGGCCGTGAGGCCGCTGATTGCGTTCGTCACCGCCATCAAAGGCGTATGCAGGGCGTGGGTAACGCCCCACACAGCCTCCCAAGGTGGAGGGTTTACGTAAAGGTGTGTGGTGTTATGGCTTTGTTCAGGGTATTAAGGTTGAAGTTTAGTTTGGGGTCATAGTTCACTTCAGCCCGAAACCCAAGGTGAGCGTACCCCAAGAGCACGAAGGCAAAGACCATGAATGAGAGCAGCATCAACTTGACGCACGCCACATTCTTATATCGAAGCGGCACACCCAACCCCAACCGATAGGCTATGTCAGCGCAACAGGACTGGCAGTTCAAGAACAAATGCTATAGATGCCACGCGCATAATGCAGGGGCCTTAATAATTCGAATAGGGTTTTGGGGTCTACTATACTATTTTACTTATAACAAGGAACCTCCCCAAAAATAGTATAGTAGGTAATCATTAAGGCCCCTATAGGTTTTGGGGTCTACTACACTATAAGAATTATAATAAGGAAACCACCCAACATAGTATAGGTAATCATTAAGGCCCCTATAGTATCGGGCACACCGACTATAGGTGCGTCAACTTGCTCCTGCAGCGTGGATGCTGGGCCGGTCCCACAGGGGACGCTCTCCATGAAGCAGTGGCCTTCTGCGCACCCTCAACCCTAAACCCCTAAACCCCTAAACCCTCAACTCTAAACCCTCAACCCTAAACCCTAAACCCTGAACCCTCAACCCTAAACCCTAAACCCCTAAACGCTCAACCCCTCAACCCTAAACCCGCTTTCGCCGAAGGACAACTCAAGGTCGGCGCCCTCCTGAGCTGAGTCGCACATAAGCCAAATCAGTTGGCTCCGTCTCCACCAATTTTTGGGCAAATGATAGGGATTGGGGTTTAGGGTTTAGGGTTTAGGGTTTAGGGATTAGGGTTTAGGGTTTAGGGTTTAGTGTTTAGGGATTAGGGTTTACCCATAGGCCCTAGAGTAGTTCCTTTTCGGGCTTCGTATATAGAATCCTATAAGGTAACCCCAAAAAGGAACTACTATGGGGCCTATGGGTAGGGGTTAGGGTTATCTGGTTCATAAAGGGAACTTTTTAAGGTGGAGGGTTCAGGGCAGTGTTTGCCTAAGCCCACAACCCAAGGATGAGGGTTTAGGGTCTAGGGCTTCCCTAAACCCTAACCACGGTTTAGGGTTTAGGGTTGAGGGTTTAGGGTTTAGGGTTGATGGCAAGTTTGGAAGTTATGGGTTGCAGGTTGAGCTCAGGGCATTATGGGCGAGGCATTCTGGACTAAAGACCGCTGGCTGCGAGAACCTACTCGGACACCCTGAGTACTTCACACAGGGGCCTCAATCGTTAGGAATAGGGCTTCGGTGCATGTGTACGTTGTAGCATAGTTCTACATACAGAGGAATCCGGAACACCGGGGATGCCAAACCCCCAAACCCCTTAAACCCCTGCACCCTGAACCTTCAACCGAAAAAACTCGGTTCTAAACCCCAAAACCCTCGGCCCTAAACCCCAAAACCCTAAACCCGAGAACTCCAAACCCTAAGCCCTAAACCCTAAACCCGAGAACTCTAAACCTCTAAACCCTAAACCTCTAAACCCTAAACCTCTGAACCCTAAAACCCTAAAGCCCGAAACCCCCAAAACCCTAAACCCAAAAACTCTAAACCCTAAACCCAAAAACTCTAAACCCTGGACCCCCGAATCCTTCTGTCAGACGCTCCCTGCCGCAGGCCTGGTAGCCAGCGGCCCCCGCCAGTCCGAAAGTGTTCAACATGGCTATGAAGCCTTCCACGGGAATTTTGTTGGAGCTTTTTGAGGCTTCAGGGATTTAGGGTTTAGGGGTTTAGGAATTTGGGGGTTTGGGGCTTTGGGGTTTTTAGAGTTTAGGAGTTTAGGCCCTTGGGGGCCACGGTTTAGATAGGTTTGAGGGTTTAGGGCTTTGGGCTTTGGGGGCCCATTTGAGGATCTAGAGGCGTGCTTTCAGCGATCTCTGTAGTTCAGGGGGTTAGGGTTTAGGGTTTGTTTTTAAGTGTGATGACCCTTTCTCTCCGCTGCAGGCCACCCTTTCGGGCGCACAAGGGTTTAGGGTTTAGGGTTTAGGGTAGGGGCCTTAATAATTAGAATAGGGTTCCGGGGCTGATTTATAGTAGAGCTCTAATAAGGAACCCGAGGGAAGAATCTAGGTAATTATTTAGGCCCCTCTACTTACTTCCCCAATAAACCAAGGAAGCAGCAGGTTAAACTTTCAGATCACTACCAAGTTGCAAGAGGCCCCAAAAAGTTTAAAGGTTGGGTCTTGGAGAACTAAGCTATCCCTAAACCCTAAACCCCTGAACCCTAAACCATAAATCCCTAATCCCTAAACCCTAAACCCAGAAACCTTCAACCCTAAGCCCTAAAACCCTAAACGGTAAATCCCTAAACCCTAAACCCTAGACCTAAATCCCTAAACCCGAAACCCTAAATCCCAAAGTCCCTAAACCCTCTATCAGGGTGTAGGGATTTAGGGGTCATGGTATGGAGCTTCCGGGAGCTTCCAGTCGGGAGCGTCTGGGGGCTCGCCAGGGTCTCGTAAGTTTGGGGGTTTAGGATTTTAGGGGTTAAGAGGTTTAGGGCTCTAGGGGTTTAGGGCTTAGGCTCCTACTGGTGATGATATAAATCCTGCAGTACCAAGCTATGGGAATTATGGCATACTCCCTCTTACGGCTAATGCAGGATGTATATCATCAGCAGTACTTGATGGGGCTTGCAGTCGAAGTTGCAGGAGTTGAAGCCTGAGGGTTAGAATAAATTTTGAGAATTGAAGATTTGGCCCTGAACCTAAACATCCCGAAACCCTAAATCCCTAAACTCAATCCCTGTAATCCCCAAACCCTAATCCCTAAACGCCCTAAATCCCCCAATCCTAACCCGTTTGGGGCGTAGACTTTAAGTTCCAGGATGACGAGTGGAGAGCTCTGGACCAGATTCGAATCCCGAAAACCCATATGCAGCCATCCGATGAGAAACTTTGCCAGCTAGGGTTTAGGGTTTACGGTTTGTGTTTAGGGTTTTGGGTTTTGGGTTTAAAAAGTTTAAGTTTAGCGTTGCAACATGCTACAACCAGCTTCAAACCACTCAACCTTATAAACCATATGCCGCCGTGTGTTGCAAGCCCGATGGAAAGTACTGCCCTAAGACATTCTACAAACCCCTAAACTCAAAACCCTAAACCTTTAAAAACCCACGCTATCTGCCCCCCTCTCGGCCCTGTAAACACCCACAAGGGCTATAGGTGCAGTTTCCCTGTGTAAACCCCGAAACAGACCCCACTTGACCTTCAACAAACCCTAAACCTCCAGTTCATCCCTGCTTGACCCGTCAAACTCGATACAGGGGTTTAGGGTTTAGGGAGCCTGAACCCTGTGCCCTCCGAACAGGACTGGCCTGGGTCACCACCCATCGAGGCACCAATCGCCAGAGCGGAAGTGCCGGCCACGACGCGGGACGTCTGCCGAGCCTCCGTCAAAGCCGAGTCCAAGTTTTCATGGGCTTCGGGGTTTTGAGCTTAGGTGCAGGAGATTTGAGGGCTGGGGGGTTTAGGGGCTTCCCTTGGTTTCAGGCGCAGGGGCTTCCAATGAAACCGAACTCGTATCGAATATGGCACAACTGGCTGAAATCGCTAGGCGTCTACTGTACTGGTAGGGGCCTTAATAGTTAGAGTAGGGTTCTGGGGCATATTATACTGTATTTACAATAAGGAACCCCCAAGATAGTATAGGTAGTTATTCCCTTGCCCTCAAAGGACTCATATTCTAAGCCTTTTGGGCCCAAAGACCCCATTATATAAGGCTTTTGGGCTGCTCTGATGCTAAGGGATTTCGGCCCCTATACCCTAAACCCTATTCTAATTATTTAGGCCCCTACATTACATGATGGCATATTATACTAGAAGTATACTTAGGAACCCTAATTCTTGTAGGTAATTATTAAGGCCCCTAC